GGGGAGGGATTTAACTACAGAGGCACAGGGAACTTTCTGGATTGATATGTTTGTGTATATGTCAAACTTCACTAAACTGTATACTTAAAATGCATGCATATATACTGTCTACTAATCAAAAATAAATATTACCAATAAAGTTGATTTTCTTAAAAGAGGTAAATCTAATTAAGCCAAAAGAAAATGAAAAAAGTAACACCTTTTATATAAATGAACATGACTACAATATTTGGTAGTGACAAAATAGCTGACTCAATGAAAACAAACACTTAATATAAACTTAATAATACACAAAACCATGAGGGTATTTCATAATGAAAAAAAAACTAAAACGTAAAAGCCCAAACATGATGATTTATGACCAATGTTACCATTCATTTATTAATTATGCTGTTTTATAAATATGTGGTTGAATAATAATTATGCTGAATGTTGGAGATACAACAGAAAACAAAACAGTGCTTGCCTTGAAGGAACTTAGAGTCTAATAAAAGAGAAATAAAAATCATAAGCAATTTAAATAAAGAATAAAATTACTATAAGATAGGTCAGTGAGTGCTCTGAATGTATACCTAACTCAGGCTTAGAGTTGTGGGAAAGAGAGGAGTGAAAGAAACCTTTCCCGAAAAGGCTGTAATTTTAGCTGGGAGCTGAATTATTTATTTATTCCATAAATATTCACCGAACAGCCACCACGTGCCAGGGACTGTGCTGGGTATTAGGAACATCCACAGTATCCCTCATGTACTAGCTATACAAATCACAAACAGTTGTTACTTTCGTAGGCCCTAGAGCACAGAGAAGGAAATTGGCAATAAACAAAGTAGTTAGACAAATATACTTAAAATTTCTGGTACATTCTATGATGAGTGCTCAGATGGAGACATGCAAAAAGATACCAAGTATAGATACGATAGTCTGAGAAGAGGATACTTAAGTTGAGCACTGAGTCATTAGAAGAAGCCGACAATTAAGAGTCATCAAATTTGAAAAAGGGAAATTTTAGGAAAAGAAAAAACATGCCAAGACACAAAATTATGACGGCACATTTGGGTAACTGAATAGTTCAGCCTACCTTGAGGACAGATACAAAAGCAAAGTGATAAGAAGTGAGGTCCAAACAGGAAAAGAAGCCTAATAATGAGATACCGCTGCGCCATGGTGTACAGCTGGGTTTGCTTTTCCCCTGCCTTGTTGGGTTTTTTTAAATTATCTACTCAAAATACTCATCAAAACTATAAAAAGTGAAAGTCCTTAAATTAAAAAGCCGGGAGCAGTATCATTAATGTTACGTATTTAGAAGGATTAAACTCCAAAAAAAAAGAAGAAAATTAGAATTAAAAGAGAAATTATAGGTGAGTGATGAAAGAGAGGAACAATTTACTACAAAGATTCAGGAAAAAATTCAAATGGCAATAATTCAAACATAAAACTGACATTAAAGAATCTTATGAATGGTGGTAACTGGTTCTATGAATATTATCATTTTAAAATTGGTAATTTAGAGACATAGAAAGAAATGAATCAAAAATGACCAAACCTTTTTATCATTACCTTCATGTGAAGGAAATATTTCCCCAAATATCAACAATCTGCATATGCTGATGAAAAATTTATTAAAGAAAAATCAGACTAACACTATGTTTTAAATTAACTTTTGCTGCTAATTAACTACTCAGATGGGATGCCAGGCCAAAATACATAGTGCTTCTAGTTTTTCTATGTACTCTATGCATTTCTGATAAATGGGAAAAGAATAGATGACCTGGCAGAAGACTCAGACAATAATATGTGATTTACAGGACATGAATGCAGCTACCGTAAGATTTATCTGACAGCCCTCTCCGATAGTGGACTGTTGAGTATCCGATGGAATGATTTCTAGTCTAGAAAGTCTACTACTGAGTAGCCATACACATTATTTATTTATTAGATGTTTTGGGTTGAAACCATTTTTAAATGATGCACTTCACAATGCACAGTCATAAATTTAGCTTTAAACCCAAGAAGGGAGGTAGTGTTATTGGAATGTATGTCAGACTGAATTAGGATGAGCAACACAACGCTTTTATAAAGTGGCCTTGAATGCAATGTCAATTCTTTCAAAAATGATATTAATGTCAAATGAGCAAGATACAAACACTTTACACAATGCTGGAGTAACATTATTTGAAATATTTACTTAACATTTTCTTTACATTCACATTGATTTCTAAAGGTTCATACACATACACAAAAAATTATTGGGCATAAATGTTACATGTTTCTGAAAAACTGAATCTGAAATATAATTAAGAACTTGTTCAATTTTTTTCTGTGCATCAGAGTGTACACAGTTTCCTGAAGAATTTATACAGTCTTATCTAAAACACGTAAAGAAGACTTAAATCAGGTTTTGGAGCTTAAATAGTTCTTGAATTATTCTACATGGGATTCAATATATGAATAAACCTAATTTAAAAAACTTAAGTATGTATATAACTTTACTTAAAAACAGTATGCTGAATATTTTAAAAAAAAGATTTCAACCCTAAATAATATTTTGCCTTAAAAATGTTAAAATTTAAATGGGATAAAATATGAAAGTGTCTAATCAACCTATTAATAAGTAGATATTGAAAAACAGTCCTAATGGAAGCTTTAACGAAATATATAGTGATCTGTTTGGTCTTAATGACGGCAAACTCAAAGTGATCATTTCCTCATTTCTTAAGTTTAGGCTCTATAAACTCTTTTCTAATAAAATGTGGCAAATTGAAATACCTTGTTAAAAAGAATGCAAAAAGAAAATAAGTTTTGAACGGATTCAAAAAAAATAATCAGAACATGGCTGATTGTCATGAAATTAACATCAACTAATTTGTAAAGTTTTAAATCAAATTTGCAGATGTTAAGTTCATAAGCATATCCCATTATTTATGTGATTAAAAAGGAGTTTCTGACCTGATCTTTCGATCTTTGGCACTCAATCCTCTCCATCTCCTCTTAAAAAATTAATTAAAATTTTAGCAAGATGCTAGCTTTTCACTTCCCACCCTATCTCAGGGTAAAAAAAATTATCAATCAAACTCAAGCCATCCCCACCCAGTATCTGCAAAATGTCGACTTCAAATTCAATTTCATATCCCTTAAGCTTTCATGTAGAAAAAGACAGTTCACTTCTTAACAAAATAAATCACTTTTGTGATTGCCAATGTGACCTCTTTGAATTAGGAAAATTCAAAGTGAAAAATGTAATTATCACCCCAGAACAATCTGTATACATCTGGAGCTAATTCTGGCTTCATTTTTCACATCATTTTTCACACTGTGCTACATCTTATAGAGACGCCATGGAACTTTTGAAGAACCCATAAAAAATGTTAAGAACTTAAAATAAACCAGTAATGTACTTTATTCAGACAAAACCTTGAGAATATCTGACTTCTGCAACTTACTCTATCAAGTGATCTTCATATCCCATTTGATTGGAATAGTATTAAACAGCACTGTGACATACATGACAAATAGGTCTATTAAAATGTGTCGTTATCTTTCCAGCTTCTAACATTCAACTGTATAATATACTAATAGCTTTCATCTATCAAGAAAATATTCAATTCTTCTAAACCAGAAAGTGAAACTTCATTATAGAAATTCACCTATGGGACTATTACATAATTATAAACAACAAATTCATACTTCTGTGAAGAAACACATAAAATTGTAAACAAATGTCTCTTAAAGTAAAGTGTAATTTCATGTCAGTATAAGAATGGCATATGGTAACTTCCATCCAAGAAATAAACAAGCAATTATTTCAAATCAAATTATTTAATGAGAAATTTTATCCAGTCAGCTTTTAAAGAAATGGAGTTTTCTAGGGGAGATAATTAAATTATAAAAACATGATTCTCACTAAATCTAAGAATAATAAGCCCACTACAAACATAACTACTCTTCACAAGTTCATTATAAAAATCCATTAGGTGTAATCTCTAGAAGTAATTGTTCTTACTGCATTTTATTGACAATGCGTACTATTGATTTTTCACACCTTCTATGATTCTTTAATTTGTATTCATGAAATGTCCATCAGCACAGTCTAAATAAATTTGGCAATATAGGCACTAAAATGAATAAATCGATGCAAAGAAACATTAATTCTGCATTATCCTTATTCGTCAGGCAAGTAAACCATAAGAGTTGTAAATGAAGGTCAAAGGTTTTGAAATGGGTCAGAACCCTTGACCTCTACACCAATATCCTTCCTATTAAAAAAGGCTATTTTAAAGTTTTAAGTAGGGGAATTTACTACCAGCGAGATATCATTTCTAAAAGACTACAAAGAAAACTCTCAATAAAAACATTCATCTGTTTAACTGCAAAACAGAAAAGAAAATATCAAAGGATACAGGATCATTTTTTGTACGTTTTTAAAAAACCATTAAAGTTTACCACATGAGGTATAAGGTTTCTGAACACTGAAACTAACCCTGCTTTTGGGAATTTATTTACTGCATCTTATTACGATGGCTGCCATATTTTTGTTGATGTTTTCCCAAATCTACTGTGCATGTCAAAAATAATTAGCAATGACAAGAATTCAAAATTATTTATCACTCATTTTATAACCTCTGCACAAAAGGGAAGTAAACCCATTATTCCCAGGGGAAGTCCAAGTGGCACTCCACAAGGTATAGAAATAAATCTGTTTCTATAACCTTAATACACGAAGCAAAGAAATTCACCCATCTCAAGATCATCTGATCTGGACATTGTTAAATGTGACTTTAAAAACCTCTGTTTCTCATTCATCTATCTGATTTCTCTCAGCACTCCAAAATTATCTGCTAGTGCCAAACATAAAATGTAATCCTTCTGCAGTACTAATAAAATTATATTAAAACTGCAAACTCAAAACTCCATTATAGCAAAAATTTCCAATGAAATATTTTAACTTCCTTTCAAAATGAATTTAAGAATTTACTTTTAATCAAACATTTATTCTTGTCACTCACCTGAGAACACAGCAGCATAACCAACTCCACAACTGAACTACTAGACTTCATGCAAACCAGACCTATTTTTAAAGAGAATTAAAAACAACAAAATTACAAAGTAAAAAAACAAATAAGAGATGTATTTCTTATACAACTTTGTCCAAATTGGTTTTTAAAATAAAATTTAACATCTTGCCAAGAACCAACCTGTACATATATGATCATATGAGTAAACAAAGGATTCTGTAATGACTTTAAATTTGGCATCAAAATGATCACAATTTTTTGTAGCCTATTTCATTTCAGCTTTCAAATTACTAAAACATTTATTACAAGTTCATGTACAATGACATTTCACAACACTCATAGAAATGTGCACAACATATGCCATGTTGATCAGTATCATCTAAATTTTGTTTTGGAGAGAGTTGATTGTTATACATGCAGAGAAGGGAAATGGCTCCATGACCTTTGCTTTCTCCACCACACTCTCTCCCTTCAACCCTCTAGCTATCAATCAAGTTTCCATTTTGTTTCATGGCAGCAGACATCCCAAACACTCTTATTAGTACCTTGACCTGTGACCTCACACTAAACCTTAACAGAAGTGCAAGCCGTTGTCTGTTATATATTCTTGATTTTTTATGAATAAATTCATTTCTATTTTTTTCTCTTATATTTCATTTGGGTTCAACAGAAATATTTCAGGAAGGAAGTTTTATACAATTAATACCTATGTAAAGACTTCTTTAGTTTTGATTACCAATAAGATCTAAAGTAGTAATTCAATAAACACTGTATAATCAGTATCTTAAAAAGGCAATCCCAATAATTAAAAGCACTAATTTGCTAAATTACATTAGTAATAATCAGAAAAATTACAATTTTTAATTCCATACTTTTCTAAGCAAACACAAGTTTGAGTTCAAACTAAACTAACTGTAGCAACTAAAATAACTCCTCATGGGTACGCACCCTACAGAATTATCTTATTTCTTTCTTCCTCTCCATTAAAGTTACTGGAGGCACCCATACCATCCCATCCACCTCCTTTAATCCTATTGCTCTACAGTTATTTCTCCTTCCGTCTTTTAGTCATGATGTCTCATACCTGCTGACAGCACATGTCAGCATTCTTTAGCCTTACAAATAGGATTCAAGTTAAATAGGTTGTTCACCTCCTTTCCTTTTTATAATAGGTATAACCACTTTTCTCCACTGTCTTAAAAATATACAACATAGAAATCACGGTAACAGTGTTGGCACTGGCACGAAAATTAGCTATAGAATATCTATCTACATGTTGCATTAAGCAAGCAAGCCCTTAACTAGACTAAACTGTAGTTTCTGTGGAGTGAAGAAGAGCATACCTCCTCTGGCTAATGCCAAGGCCAAAAGGAAGGGCACGGCGATCCTCCAGCATTTTTTGCTGGTGTGGCCCTCTGCTGATCTGAAAACCTGTCACTTTTCATAAAATGTAACCCAACTACAGGAAGTTTCATATATTTCAACTTCAAAAGCCACTAATTCTAGCAAGTAAATTCAGACCTTTCTACAACTAGGTCATTATTCCTTATTGCTCTATTTTAGAGGAACCAGAATTCCTATCAACTTTCCTTTCATGACAAAGCATTTAGGCCCTGATCTGGCTCAGCCTTTTATACCCACTCAGATAATGAACAGTAACGATTAAAGGGCCTTGGGCCGTCCAAAGTTAGAAAGACTCATAGGTGTCCTCCTGTCTCTACAACATATCGTAGGATAGCTCGATACTTACATACTTTGAAAAAATTACTTATTTCAGGCTTATTTCAGATTAGCAAAGTGGAAGAAGGTTAATGCTACCCAGTTGGACATAAAGATTCAGCAAAAAAATACAACCACTGCACAGTGGATTGAATGTTCAAGGACAGTAAGATGTCAAGTAACACTTCATAGTTTGATTAGAACAATTCATATTTTTTTTGGAGCAGAGTTTTGTGGATTTGTAAAGAATGGTAGGGGGCTGGGTGGATGGTACATTAAATTTTAAATAAGGGCATCAGAGAGCTTACAGTAGACCTCTAAAGGGCACTGATACTGCCAACACAAATATATAACCTTGGGAGGAAGTAAACGGAGGTAATCTCAATAAGGGACTTGGTATCAGATTGCAAAACTTAATCACCTCTACTTTTGATCTCAGTTTTTACCTTTGGGTGACACTGGTTACACGGATGAAAAAGCAAGAAATGAATTATAAGCCAGTAAATCTGTCTTCAGAGCTACAGTCAGACTCTAAGGATTATCCAAAGGAAAGCCTTAAAACAACACTTGGAGTGAAACTGTAAGTTGCTGAAGTATCAGTTTTCACCTCAGACACACACAAATCCTATTACTGCCCCAATTAGCAGAAAGAGAAAAAGGCACTGTTGGCTCAGAGATTGGACTGGGCTCATAATCTGACTCTCTAAAAGCCTCTCAGAGTAATGGTTGGTTTCAGTTTATTGGTTTTATCTTTGGTTGGATTTTAAGCATTACAGAATTTTAGTCTCTTCAAAAGAGACAAACTGAGGTTGCCAAAACCAAGAGTTTTACACTTTTCCTGTGTTTCATGACCAAAGACCACTGCAATTTTTTTCAGAGACTATTTATACCACCTCTATTACTACTTTTTCCTTACTACTAAACTCAGAAATATTAAATAAATTACCAGATATTAAGCTAGCAACATTTGAACACTGAGATTTCTAAACTCTCAAGTATACCATAAAAAAGTCATGACCATTTACCATCTGGAATGTCAGAACCCCTTTTTTAAAACAATTATTCATCTTAAGTCACCTTAAATAATTTACATAAAGGGATGGTTAAAAACATTATCAGAAGTTCTAGTAAGACTTTAAGCATAATAAACCCAAAATTTTTCCCGTTTTCCTGGTTTTGAAGGTATATGTCTATAATTTGGATATAATTAATTGCTCCTGATCAATCTGTAAACATGATATTCATCTTATAAATACTAATTCTAAGTTACAAATAAACTTTTAATAGGTACTAGCTTATCATTAGTTCTGGTCCTTCTTTATTATTATTTTTTTTAATTTTAGGGGCAGGTAATTAGGTTTAATTTTTTTTAATGGAGGTAGTGGGGGTTGAATCCAGAACTTCACCAATGCTAAGTACATGCTCTACCACCAAGTTATATCTTCCCCCTGGTCCTCCTTCTTGAACTAACATCACCAAGTGCAATATTTTGGAAAAGTTGGACTAATAGGTTGTTCAAAATTCTGTTAAGGAGAGGAGAGTCATCTTCTTTTCTCCAAAATTGCAAAATATTTTCTTCTTCAGATTATAAACACCATTTAGAATAATCAATCCACTGAATTTTTTCGTTTCTACATGAATGGTTCCTTCCAATGATCTTCATGCATACACCTGCTTTTAGTATTTATTCACTTAGAAACTGCAAAGTAAATTGTGGTGCACAGTCATCACAAATGACAGATGAACACTGTCACATGCCTCTTAAGCAAAATGAGATGTTCCAGGTTCTTGTCATAAAACATTGGATAAATTGTGTAGAATGAAGTCCTTCCTGTTGAACGGCATGATGCTGGGAAAACCAATTTCCTTTTTCTTCACAGAAATACACTGTGCACAAATAAATTCTTGAGTTGGATAAAAATTGTGAGTACTGCTCCCTGTCTTTTCAAATTCATCCACAAATGGTCTAGTAATTATAAAATGTCTTCCTCTGTCAATGTTTTTCACCTCACTATTATGGGCAGAAAATAAATTCTAAATTCTTAACTACGTTCGATGAAAACTAAAAATAAGACCACAAAGATGGAATCCATAGACTTCTTTTTTATCAATATTTCTCAACCTTTTTTGAGGAAACTACGGAGCCATTTTAGGACATTTTTCTTAATTATGCCCTATGAAATTTTAATACTAAAGAAATACTGTACAGATGTACTGTGGTCCATTGGAGAATCACAAACTATTGTAATATTTAGGTATTGGCCCTCCTAAAATACCAGTCTTTGATCTCATTGAGAAAACAAATTTATACCTGCTTAAAATATGAAGTAACACTTTGTGTAACACAGTAAGAAAACTAAGGGTGATCCAAGAATGATGATTTACTATCCTAGTGCACCTTGATTCTAGGGGCAATTCCACTATTTTTGTTTTCTTATTATTTTAGTCTTTAATATAGTTAGAAATAACAGATGAGTACTGATGACTAGCAAAATGTTCTAAGATATAGAAAAATTAACATCACAAAGATCCCATAATAAATCCTAGATTTATAAAAAATGTCCAATGAAATCATTTATGGTAACTGTCAGAATCAACATTTTTTAAAGTAATTATGTTTTTGGAAGGCCCCTAAAAAAACAAAAGCAGTAAAGTATCAATGTTTACAAAGGGCTGTAACTCCTTGAAAAAGAGAGTTACCATCACTAAAATTAAGCCTATCAGAAAATATGTGGCAAGATGTAATATGAAGTATCACAGCTAATTAAATGTTTAAATACCCAGGATAGAGAAACTGCTAAATGACATCACCAAGAAGAATAGCCACAGAGAATCTAGGTATGAAATATTCTACAGAACCACCAATCAGATTTCTTCAACTAGTCAGTAACATGAAAACAGAAGAATAGGGGAAAACTATTTGACATTAATAAAGACTTAAGAGACATAATTAAATGCAATAAATTGATTTTGTTTGGATCTTAACTGGAAGAAAATCAATTATAAAAAAACTTTTAGATAAAGATGAATACTGGCTGAATATTAGATAACACTGTAGAACTACTATTAATATTATTAGGTATAATAGCAGAAATTATGATGTGTAAGAAAATATCCTTCTGATATGAATTATGAATGATTTAGGGTGAAACAACATGTCTGGGGTTGTTTTAAACACTAAAGCAAAATAAAGGGAGGTGGATATAACCACCATGGCAAAACAAAGGCGGTTTGGGTAGTTGGTAATAATAAGTTCATGGATATTGAATTTCCTACTTTATAAATATTTTAAATGTTCCTTAAACTTTTTTAATAAAAAGTTCATTTAAAAGATTTAAAAGTAATAAATTTTTGAGTACCTGGTCACACAGCTAGGTAGGTCACTGGCAAGGGCAGAATTAAAACTGAGGTCTCCTCCCTTTCAGTCCAATGCTTTTTGGAAAGTACCACGGTGCAACCACCTCCACTCAAAACTTTTCTGTTTTATAGTGCATGGACCCACCACCCAAAGGATTCCTCACAACTTAAAATAAAAAAGCTACATTAAAGCTCTTAATTCGTTTGCTGTTTTTATGAACTCAGCCCTATGAGGAGGTACCACCCAAGTTTATAGATATCTGAGCAAGAGTATCATCTTCCTTCTTGTCATTTTATCAGAATTTACCAATAAGAAATTGATTCTAAATTTTGTTCAAGATCTAGAATTGGAAAGTTTAGTACTTCTGAGTACCTAAGATGGTCCTATTTTATTGGATCATTATAAAATTCAAAGACCAAATAAATGGCAACAATGTCCTGCTACACTGAAAGGCTATAATTAATACATTCATTGTACAGTTACAAAATGAAATATAATTAATAAATTGTCACACCACTTTAAAAGAATAAATAATACATGAAGCATAAGTTAGGGTGCAACCTTTGATTTATCACTTCATTTCCTTTCAAATCTTATTACTTCATCAGATCAATAGTTCTTGGCTAAATATTTATATCTTAATACCTAAACTAAATTCAGGTATTTCTAAAACTTAAACTTTGTTTTCAAATAAATTAAGTGTTACTTTTTGACCATATGGAAACAATGCTGACATCCCATAATTAACATCAGACACAGATATTTTAAAGTATTATCTTACCTATAACTTGCACTACCATTATATCCTTATTTCTATAAAAAGAGGGGCTTTTTTTTCCACACGAGTTTCAAGAAATTCCTTAGGAGATCATTTAGTGACTAGTTTGACACAACCTCAAAGTACTCTACCTAGAAAAGATCCAGTCATCTATGTATGATACAGGCAGGAAAGAGTAAAATACTACTGTACCTTCTACTTATTTGTAAGACAGAATTCTACGGTAGAGACTAATAATGCATTTCTCATTTTCCTAGTATGTGGCAGTACACTGTTGGTTATATAGATCTTAAATTCAAGTAACATCCCAGGTAAATGCCCCACTAATTACTGTAACATTAGTCTCTCTAATTCTTTATTCTCATAGTTAATTTTAATGCATTAAAAATTTTCTTAGTTCTTTGGTTCAACACATAATTTTCTTTTCTTATTATTCCTAAAAACACACACAATTTACTGCACACAAATCTCATCCAAATCACTGATTTTAAAAACCTTGTATAGAACACAATATCAGACATAACTTATTCTTTAAAAAATACGTACAGACTCTGTGAGAAACCTTGAAAACATACAATAAATCCCCATTAATCTAGTTACTCATTTAAGTTTTTAACTCTGAAATTTAAGAAATATACAAATAAATGTGTGTGTGCGTGCGTGTGTTTTGTGTGTGCACATGTGTAAAGAAGAACAGAAAGGCCACTTACTTGTTCCTTCTATAAGCAGTTCTTGTCCGTGGCTACCCAAAAGTGTCCGAGAAAGAAAAGGTGCAAAATCTACAAAAATCTCTCGCAGAAGAGGAGCTGCCTTTTCCAAAGCATGTTCGAGCCTCTCTGTAATACTAATGGAAAGGTATTAACTCACTTGTTCTATTCATTAGCATTTATAAATTTTCTAGTTTTAAAATCAGTGATAGAAATATAAAATTATGTGAAAATCTAAAATTTCCCTAAAGCCTGACTATCACTATGCATACCATTCCTTCTGCCTGGAATACCCTTTTTCATTCTGTTCTATTTTGCCACCCCCAGCCCTCACAGACAACCTGGTAAACAACCACTCCAAGCATCAGCTTATTGGAAGTCTTAACTGGCCAGTAGAGAGCACTTGATTTGAGCCCATTATAAACTAAACAAACTCTATCAAGTCCTTATTAAATTTTCTATTACCACTAAACCACAAGCACCTTCAGATCAAGAACTATGCCTTAGCTTCTAAGTTCTCAGCTGCACCATACAGTACAAATTCAATAAATGCTTATAAACATCTGTCTCTATAGTAATTTCTTTCTAACGCAATCTGAAAAACTTTTCATTTGTAAACAGTATACTTTACTGGCACATTTACAATGATCTCAGTTTACACAATGTATGCTTTGTGACTATATGTACATATATTCATACATATATGTATACACACAGAAAAACATATATACACACACAGTTCCTCAGTTTCCATGGGCGAATAGTTTCAAGACTCCCCACAGACACCAAAATCTGTGGATGCTCAAGTCCCTTATATAAAAGGGCATAGTATTTGCACATAACTCATGCACATCCTTCTGTGTATTTTAAATCATATCTAGATTACTTGTAATACCTGATACAATGTAAATGCTGTGGAAATTATTGTAAATACAATGTAAATAGTATGTAAATAGTTGCCAGTGCAAGGCAAATTCAAGTTTTGGTTTTGGAAACCTTCTGGAATTTTTTTTTTAATATTTTCAATCTGGTGTTGGTTGGATCCATATCCAACTACATATATACGTATTTAAGGAGTTAAAAAAAAGGGCTCCTGCATTTCAGAAAATTCTGTTTCTAAGTTATAAACAAAGCATATATGTAAACAGTCATTACTTATTTACTACTCATAGGAGTACTTCCTATTCAAACTATCAATTACTGAAAGTACTGAAACCGTCCATTGGTAAGCTGCTGGAAATTTCTGTGGTCAATAACCATCTCTTCTCAGGTACTACCCGTACTACTACTCCTCTCCACTTAGCACATGGAGCCTCTTATCCATGGATGACATCACAGCTAGGAGCCTCTACTTGCAGCACCCTGGTGCCTCTGTAAAGTGCTTTGCATTTTCCATTTGTGGTAAGGAAAAATTAAGAACTCTGGTCACAATGACCCTAGTGGTAGAAAATATTCACAACATTCCAAATGAGAATTTGAAATGCACCATCGCAATTAAAAAAGATTAATGACAGTAAAAATCTATCTATTGTTCAGTGTCACTATGGCTTTGGCTGACTGGCTAAACTTATTTCAGCATTTCTAGGGAAGAGGAACAATGAATTCCAAATGTTCAATTTGCAATCATATGGAACACAAGCCATAAGCTACTAACTACCTAGGTAATTAAGTATTTGTTATGCCTGCAGCATTTATGAATCACAAATAGCTACTTTTTATGAATCTTTTACATCTCATAATCTTTAAGAAGAAACTTCTAAAATATTCCCATGCCTCTAAATGTAATATCTGTTAAAAAAAAAAAAAAGACTGTAGCTAGACAGTTTTAAGAGTCATCAGAAGGAATAAATCACAAATATCCAAGTTAGTAATTTGAATACCTCATATTTGAAACTTGGTCTTGTGGAACTGAACCAACTGTTGGAACCGCAGGTAATTTTGCATTAGATGATCTACCACCTATAAAAGAAAATATCCGTTTAGGGAATTTTCTGTTTTTAGATACAAGAGTTGAAACAAAAATGATATCTTGATACCAAATCAACAACAACAAAAACCTATCATAATGGATTTTTAAATGCCTATTATAATCTAGATAACATTAAAATCTACCAATCAACTAAAGTTTTCTTGGATCATTCAACATATAAATTTCAGTTACAGGTTCAATTATCACACTAAGCAGTCCTTTCATCCATTGGCTGAAAAAGCAGAAAAAAGTAAATTCTGACTCACTATATTGGGGTCATGATTCCTTCCATCCTTCCACTCAACTCCAAGTAGTAACAGAGGTTTATAAGCAAAAACCTTTCTTAACTGAAGCAAAAAACAGAAACAGCTAATTCCAAATTTAGCTTAAATAGGTGTGCTTCATTACCATGAAAACTATTCTTATTCAGTCACCAAATAACTTCTGCTATACCGTAAATGCTTCTGAGTCTAGTCTGGCAATCATTATGCAAGGACCACCAAAGAAACCTTTCTTAAATGATTCAAACAGAACGTATACTCCCTCATTTATGTCCTCACTGTAATTGGTATATAACCTGTTGTTGCACTATTCACACTGTATTCCAATTGATTTTTATATCCTTTTTCCTAGTCTACTAATCTTATTGAAAGCAAAGATTTCATCATTTTCATCCATCTATCTCTAGAGCCTAGACAAACTGACACAGAAGAACATTCTCAACTTGTGTTAACTGAAGAAATTGCTTCCTTAATCATTCCCATCTCCCATATTTCAGTAGGTCAATCTTCCCACCTGGTATATACTTCCCTCTCTATCTCCTACGACTTTATGTCCCTAGCTTTATTCAAACTACTATGTAGAGTTAGTTTCCAACATGTGATCTTATTTTACTCTCCAATACCCTTGAGTACTCTTGTATATCTGTATTGTTGAATGACCAGCTCACCCTCTTATAGTATAAAATGTTCAGACTCTTTTGTCTTGTATAAGAGATATCTTCTTTATGTTTTCAACAAATAACTGTGCTTATAAATTTTACTCGGGAAAAAAAATAGTTACCAGGAAATTAACTCTGACAGAGTTGAATGGGGACAGAATGGACAGGTACAGAAACAACACACATTATGACAAATCTTCAAAATGTAAGTCTAGAAGACTAATTTGGAGTATAATTTACTGAGGCTTGAAGAGTTCTAACAAGCTCAAATTCTCTCATAAACCTCTTATAATACTCTATTACTGAGATGCCTTAAGTTTCCCCATTGTATGCTTCTCCCTTACTGAACTAACTTATTCAACCAAAGATTTATTACTATGGGATTTGGTTGGAGGACATTGACGGAGACTTTAGATGAAGTCAGGTAGAGGAAGATAGCAAAGATTTTTTAAGAAATCTCTAAGCAAGAATTCTTTCCATAACAAGTTATTTCATCAGGGTAAGATGCACATTTTTCCACATGATATTATCTCTCAAATCAATGCAGCTTACAAAGGCATCTTAACGACTGTAGTCGGCCAGAAGCTGAGACCTAACTGTGAGAAAACACAGTGGATAAAATCATGAAAGCAACAGAATTAAATCTGAAATGTGATAAATGACTAAAGAAGGAAAAACTGTGTAACTTTTCGAAACTTTTATCTTGCAATCTACAACCTCAAGATAACATAAGTTAGAGGAAGAATGACTGTACAATCTAAACTTATTGTCTGAGTGAGGCATACCTCGGAGATATTTTGGGTTCAGTTCCAGACCACAGCAATAAAACAAATACGACAATAAAGCAAGTCACATGAAGTTTTTGGTTTCCAGTGCATATAAAATTTATGTTTACACTATACTATAGTCTACTAAGTGTGCAACAACAGTTTTTCCCCCCAAAATGGGACATTTTCCTATTTAAAAATACTTTATTACTAAAAAATAATAACCAACATCTGACATAGGGCTGCCACAAACTTTCAATTTGTATAAAAATGCTGTATCTGCAAAGCACAATAAGTGAAGTGTAATACATTTTTTATTTTTACAAATTGTATTTTTTACAAATTGAAGATTTGTGGCAACCCCGTGTCCAGTAAGTCTATCACTGCCATTTTTCCAACAGTATTTGCTCACTTCATGTCTCTACATCACATTATGGTGGTTCTCAAGATATTTCAAACTTTTTCGTTATTACTTTGTTTCTATTGGTGATCTGTGATCAGTGATCTTTGATGTTATTATTGCAAAAAGATTATACCTCCCTGAAAGCTCAGATGATGGTTAGCAGTTTTTAGTCATAAAGTATTTTTCAGTTAAGGTATTACATAGTATTTTTAGACACAATGTTTGCATATTTAATAGTCTACAGTAGAGTATAAACAACTTTTATATGCACTGGGAAACCAAAAAATTCACATGACTCACTTTATTGTGATATTCGCTTTATTGCAGTGGTCTGGAACCAAACCTCACTATCTCCAAGGGGTATGTCTGTATATAAAGTCCACACTCTTATTCACATAT